AAGATCATGAGACTTCCTTGAATTAAAAAAGTTCGTGGTTGGTCGCTTCATTTTATCTCATTCTCCTTTTTCCCTATCTTCCCAATTTATTGTCAAACTCTATTAAAATGTCGCTAATTTGACAATTCCCTTTTGCTCTTTGCAAGCTTAATCTAGTCACAGTTCTATTTATACTAACTGAAATTGTTTATAAACTATGCTTAGGAAAGAGGAATGAGTACAAGGTTAAGATGGGATGATTTGTGCAATATCGGTTGTGGCACCAACTTTTTTTTATAAAAATTGTCTCAGTTTCGATCTGTGAAAAATGTGAAAAATCTTGATTCTTTTATCAATTTTTTACCCGTCGGATGTATAAAAAACTTTCAGCAGGCTTAAAGGTATAGTATCTTGTTCCACTTTTATGGCTAAAGTTGAGTTGAAGACAACAAAATCCAGGCATTTTCCCTTTCTCGCTCAATGAATTGCAAGCACAATGTTTCATTGGAAGTTAAAAAAGATTTTAGAAAATTTATGAAAGAAATTCCCCATCCATGCTGTGTTTACCCTGTATTTTTTATCTCAGCAATTACATTCGTGTTTTCCACAAAAAACGCAACAATTAAAAATCCGAGTAATGTCTATGTGTTGTTCCATTTGTTCCTATTTTCACGATAACGGAATGTACCCTAGACGATTGAGCCGATAGTGTGTCATGAATAGCTGCTCATCGTATAAGTAGCTACATTTCTAGTTACACAGTCCTGAAACCTTGCTAAAGAAGTACTTCCAGACTTCCAATCATTGAAATATGAAGGAAATCATGCAGTACTTTCAAACCTTACCTTTTGCTATTATTTAGTTGGACAAGTAGCACCAGCTACCGTCCCTACTGATTATAATTGAATATTTTCTTCCGCAATAAGATGCTAGGCATACACAACCTCCTTTCCAACCATAATTACCTTGCGTTGAGGTTTGTTACTCCATAATCGCTGATATCTAGGATGCTACTGTATAGAACTGTCGAACCATATTAACATCTACATATGGATGACCAACTTGAACAAAGCACTGCATTTGACTCTTGGTAATTCTCGGTTGTGACAGTAGAATGAATAGTTGTAAGGGAATAATTTCAAGTGAAATGGAACAGGCTAAAACTCCCTAACATAGCACTAAATTATTCATATTCTTAATAGTGGAACAGTAAGTCGTAGTGCAGAAAACAGAAGGGATTACTATTTTCCTAATAGTCGAATGGTGGTAATACATCGCTGTAATCCAACGATTTTAGCAAACAATCCGTCAACCTTAGATTTGATTGAATGCGATAACGAAATAGATGTTATCTGTTTGACTGAGTCTAAGTAGAAAACATGACCTCGCTTTTTTTTGGCTGTTGGGACTCATTTCCAAAACGAACGTTACAATGGTAGATTTAGAGTGGTAGGAATGTTGCGGGACGATTAACGACTTTTAGTTAATATTTAAAATATTACTAACGCACAGAATAGGTCTGTTAATGACGTCCGAGTTTTTCAGGTCTTCCTTAAAACCTAAATATATTTTCAATTTTATGACTTCCTTATCCCGCATATAAAAACTAATCGAGCTCTTACTCAAAGCTCATCGAACTAAAATAAGGTGCCAGGTGTTCCCAGTTGTACTCCCAACAGGAATATCACCATAAACACTTCTATGGATATTGCTTCATTTCTTGAATATTGAGCTATGTGAAGTACTTGCTATTTTTGGATTATGGGTAATAGCGAAAACATATAATTGGAATTAAGCTAAAATAGCTAAATGAAAACTCGTTTAAGGCTCATGAACAGGACTCACTAAGCAAATCTTCAGAAGAATGGAACGAGAAACTTCATGAGCCTCTCTGTTACAGTTTAACTTTCCAAAAAGAAGCGAAGATCATGCAGTCTTTAAAATTTTGAGACAGTTGCGAAAACCACATAAACTCAAAGGTTAGTACTCTTTGTATACCGCAAAATACCAATAAACAAGAGAATTAGAACATCTCCAGAATGCTCTCGCAAAAGACATCAAATGACATCAAACCTTTCGACTTTGACAAATTAACATTATCCCACAGTAAGACAATTAATAATTCCCATTGATATCTTGGCTTTTATAAATTTATGAAAAAGACCTAGAAATAACAAAATTATTATACAAGGCAAATGAGGAAAAAGAGAATGGAAGAGAACAATTCTTTCGGAAGCATCATACTTGCATTCAGCAAAAGAGAGTGAAGAAGTATAAGCTCATATTCTTTGACATGTACTAAATGTTGGCACCTTGATAGTATCAAACAAGAGCATGCCATTTCACCAATTAATTTAAAACGAGAAAAATGCTACTGGATATGTGATGAAAACACGCATTATAGTAAAAATAATGTAATATTGAAGGTCGTTCATTTAGAGAATGAAGAAATAATTGTTAATATATTGGTATTCTGTATGGTTGTAATGTTAAAGCGAAATTATAACAAAAAAGAAGGGATTTAAAGGCGCTTATAACATCTGCAATCAAATGTATAAGGGAAATCTACAACTATACCCAGCACAAAAAGCATAACCGTTTAATGAATCGATCAAAAAAAAAAAATTGGAAAATTTGTTGGTTCGCTAAAAACCGTAAGTGAGAACAACACCAAGAAGATAAAGAACTGTAATAGTATTTACCACTACCAAAAAATAATTGAATTTTAATTTGAATCAACCTGCTTAACTTTAACTTACATAGCAACTGATTCATTCACAACAACGTGTGTTTACAATTTAAATTTCTTTAAAAACTGAATTTTTAAAATTTCGCAATCTTTGCAAAATTTCCAACGAGAGCTCAAATTACATTCCTTCCAGCCTGCAAAATCAGTAACATCACAATTAAGAACAAAAATTTGTGGCAGCAGGACCCGAATGAATTTATGCAGTGGTTGCTGTTGTTGTTTCGAATAATTCGTTACTTTGCGACCCGTCTTCGTCCCTTTCATGGTCACCCTGATTCACCACTAAAATACGCAAATAATGAAATGAATAAATAAGTAAACAAATAAACACATGAAAAATGTTCAGGTCTGTAACTTCGCTGCAAATAGACATTTTTTCTGTGACTTTGGTTTTCTCTGAGAACCAAAATTTGAAAAAGGAAGGCAGAGATTTGTATTAACAATATCATACTAAAAAAGATCATGATTACACCACAGATCAGTGAAAACGGAAGTGAAAAATCTCTTCAATAATTATAGATTTTGGCAAAAAAGTTCATCAGAATGTAATTTTTATTCCTAAAACTCAATTACCAACCATCACAGTAAATAAAAAACTATACCACTTTCAGTGGAAGTAACGGCGTTATTAAACGCATTAATTGAATAATTTTGTGACGAGTTTGATTGACCTGTACAAGGCGAAAATGGATTAATTTTGTACAGAAAGCATAAGTTGCATACACGGACCTGAAATGTGGACTTTCGGTATCAAAATATTTTTGCCAAAACCAACTTTTGAAAACTGGAACAAATTTAAAATAGGCTTTGGATGTAATTATAGGAGCACTTGAATTAACCAGAGAAATTCTATAAAAATGATTAAGATTTCTTCCCAACTTCATACCATTACCAATAATATAACAATATAAACAAATACGATACCATAACGAAAGTAAAAATAGCAGCTTATATTAGGATAGTTTTTCACAGAGGAACACCAACAAAAGTGTAAAATTCAGAAGTCAAAATATATTCGAAATGATAAAATATAACAAAAAATGAAAACTAATGTTTTATATAAGTGCAAAGGAACCATTACTTTCTTATCGTAACCCAATTCCGGAAGCGGTAAGGAGTTGGCAGAACAACGTGAACAAAAGATTCTCCCACAATTGCGGCAATGATGACGACGCCGGACCAATGTGAATTGCATGCCACAGGCCGTGCACTGTTCACAGTCGCTATCTGGTACCCAACGAACACCTATAGAAAACAAAGATTAAGTTTAGTTTCAATTTCTCGTAAATATTACACATGAAGATCATATGAATGAAACCAAGCACAAAAACTGACCGACAAGGGAAGGTAAAGGAAGTGTTTCCTGTACCTCTACACCCATTTCTTCTTCATTCTCTGGATTTGGAGCTGTTTTTCCCGATATCTGAAATACAGAATGTAATATATATATGCTTACAAACCTCGGGAAATTTCTCATTCCGGTACCAGCGAACATCTACAGACGAATGAGTGGTAAAAGCTTTTCAAAGATCTGCTTCTGAATAAATAGTTTTTGAAACAAGCACTCTTTCCTAGTTCAGTTTTTTGATGAGAAATTTCGAAGTATTAAGCAAAGAAATTTGCAGGACATACAATATACCATACTCCATGACAATAAAAAAAATCGTCTCGGCAACTAAATTATAACAAAAAAAACAAGCCTCAAAAATTGGTACAACATCGTTCGGCTGCAAAATCATCTTCAGCACACGTCGTAGGTCAGTGGGATAATTTGTCTGCAACTGATCAGCAACGCCGCATATGCAGACAAATAAACGATGTATGAGATCGGCAGAAGAGCGGAATCGCGCACGCAAGCGATGAGAGTCTGGCGGACGAATCATACTGCAAAGAATTTTATTGGTTAAATCATTGAAGACATCAATTATATACTGCCACTTATTCCAGGAATTTACCAAAAATCACTGAAGTCCTTATATGCATTTCTCAATAAAACACAGGCTCGTTTTTTTAAAGTTAATGAACCAAGAAGAGTCAATTCCATAATTTTAGACCGAATAACAACGTAGATCAGAATGCTCCAACTTACATCAGAAGGTCCAATTCCGAAGAATTCTCAGCACTGCTGTTTCCACTACTGCTACTGAGATGCACTGGCGACAGCATTCTATGTGCAAGGCCATTTGCATGACATGAAGCAATGCGAGCACCAGGTATGTTGCAGTCAACATCATCTAACGGATTTGAATACGAAGAATCGTTCGCTCTACAAAGAAAGCAAAGACAAAAACAACCATTTTCCGTTTGAAATTTACTACAATACTACATTTTGAAATTTACCTTTGAAATTTTTTTTGAAACATTTTTAAATTTACATTTGAAATTTACCTACTACAATAACAATGGCGTCATTAAAAATGGAGGTCAACTTATCTTTAAAAAGTAATCACTGATGATATCAAGTCATAAAACAAAAGTCAAAGCGAACTAGTGAAGATGACCACTAATGAAAATGTGAGGTGAAAATAAAGCCAAATTGAAAAGAAAAAAAAACGAGAATACAAATAAGGATTAGAATAAAACCGATGAAAATGAAAACCTTATGCCTGCTTAAAATGATAAGATACTACTTTCAATAGCTTTTATCAAGTTGGTGAAACAGAAACAAATTTAGTTTAACTTTTTTCTTAGGATTCAACTATTTCAACATAGTTATTAACTTATTTTTTGTTAATCCATTTCTACTAACAGGTGAAAAAACGATATGTCAGCTATAAGTAATCTGTGCATTTATTTCTTATCATGAACGAGCTAAATCTTCGTCAAAACTTTCGTTTGATTATTGATTCATAATTATAATTAACAATACTGTAATTTATGCGCCTCCAAAATTCTTTCGACCCCTTTTCCAGTAGTCTTCAAGTGAAAATTTGCTACAGTCAGTGCTTCCTCGACACTATCTTCATCTGGAATAGCTAAACAAAAGTAAGGAAAACATTTAATGGTTTAAACAAACTGAAAGCAAATGCCAGCAGTTTGTCGACATTAATAAATGTCAGTAAACGTGGATAGCTTGGATCTTCATATTGAATCAACCATATCCAGATAAATATATTAACATTTCTTCATTTCGGGTGCCCGTGGGTGTGCACCTTTCGGACAAGAAAGCAGATATAGTGTTTGTACGCACCAAATTTAATTTGTGTTTCGCCAGTACACAGAGCTTTCTCGACACGATGTAATTCATGCAAGTTCAAAATACGCAGGAGGTCGCGAATTTTCACCAACAGACTGTGAAACGAGCGGAACATATCGGACAATGTTTCAGGATTCGCATCCACATTTAGCGCCCCTTCCGGAAAATACAAAAGACCACTGCAAAATAATTCATATACGCTACCATTACAACACTGGGTCTATGTGAAGAACTCGTCAATTAATTTATTATCATCACAACGCCAATCACAAGTTAGTCGTTTCAATTTGAAAGAAAAAGAAAATGGAAAACAGAACTCACCAAACAATGGCTAATCGTGGGACAGCAATCATCACAATGGGATCACAATCATCAATCTGATCCTGAGTTAGATAAGCTAACCTAAGAGCCCTACAAGCAATATAACTGAATGATATACGTGGTAAGATGTAAGGTTTCAAAAGAAAGGAGCATGTGCTGTGGTATTCATTTCATTTTTTTCAGCATGACTCCAAATTTTAAAAAACACAATGGTTTGCTCTTTAACTACGATAAAAATTGAATGTTCGTGTCTTTTAAATGTTTGTAAATGAGGTTTTGAGCAGAAACAAGCGAATAACAAACCTATCTAATGTTTCTGAAAACAAAACAGCAATATCTAACTGACAATCATACTCTTTTACACTTTTCACTGGAACCATTGCACTTACGTAACTGAAATATTACTTCATATAGAACAGTTGACAACTCATAAATTAACATTTCAAGAATCTGGCCAATTGAATAAATATTTAAAAAACATGATGCATATTTTTCAGTTATCGACTCCAGAAAAGCGAATGATGTCAAATTCTCACGAGCCCAATTTCTCAGAATGCAAGATATATTCCTTAAACAATTACGGTGATAAAACATGAAGGCATGAATATATCATTTATATCGTGCTAGAAAATTCCTTTCTTTTGATATACTTCTAAAATACCACCTTCCACAATGTAATTACGTGCTTCCATGTTTCATTGCCGTAAGTTAAATTAACTAACTTCAGTTCAAATTCCGCAAAAAGCTGATCGAAATGCTTTAAACTTCTCTTCACTTTATCGCTGTAATGTGTTGGGTCTCTAAGAGACTGATCTTTCAGCAAGTCGCGCAAGGTATCCAAATGTTTCGTTAGTGCACGAGCCATTGGTCTTATAGCTTCTGATTCTACTTCATGGTCAATTATGTTGGATCCTGCTGTGAGGCACTGAAATGAGACATCTATTTTAGTCTCATTTCCGCTAGCAGTCTAATTATTTTGACCCAGTAGTGTTCATATATTAATCTAGCGATTACATTATGACAATAAGATACAATGCATTGGAAACATCAAAATACCTGGCTCAGAGTCTATTTGATAAGTACAACTAATTATCGTCTAAAGAAATACTAAAAATAATAAGTTTGCCTCGGCGCCAAACCAGAGTTGTCCGGGTAAACTGTCATGCATGATTTCTTCTGGAAATTTCACGCGGTAATCACGACAGGCACGATCTGATTCACGTGGAAATACTTGCTGTATCATTTCTGCTATAACAAAGCTAAAGTGAATAAAGTTTCAAGAATAATTTCTAAACCATATAACCAAACTAGTAGCCCTAGTATTTCGATGCAACCCTATTGGCTTTAGAATAGAAACATTCTTCCAGAAACGAGATATTTAACCAATACATGAGGCAAACAAAATATAACACCCTGATGTTGATTTGCTAGGATGTTTGAAGACGAAAAGAACGATAAACTGACAAATTATGTGCAACAGACGATCCTGCGCTTGCCTCAGTTTGCCGACTAACTGGCTGCAACGCTCTGGGTCACGACGTCCATCAAATGAATCTAGTTCGCTGGCTACTGCGTTAAGTGCCTCGTCTGCATAGTAAAACTTGGCCAATGGATTCCAATCGTCCACACGAGGTTTATTGACCAGCTTACCTGAATTAGTAAAAGCTTAGAATAACAACTGTCATACAAATAAAAATTTCAATATAATTTACAACTTAGGAAAACAAAATAAAACTAACGCAAACTTTGCATAGTAGCTGATGTAATACTCCACTACGAAATGATTGTCGCCCTTTTTTCCACTGTTAATGCTATGATTAAAGATGAACAATGAAAAACAAGTGCATACACATATAAACCAAAAAGACCAATTCAACAATTCTGAAAAAAAGATTCAGCAATCACTTACAGCCTTACATATTTCATCATTTTAATCACTGTTGCTTCTGCAAATTCCCTCATGCATGCTACTTCTAAACCATTGTGAATCGAGAAGTAACTGTATCGCACGGTGGAATATGGAAAAAAAGTAGTGCATCAAAAACAGAAGAACCTCAAAATAACTATCTCTCATATGACTGTATACAGTAAGAACTCTGATGATTAATTGAAAGGAACAAAAAAAAGACACTGCGATTAAGATACGGTGAAAATGGGGAGTCATAATGTCTCAAATGGTGATTAATGACACGCAGTGTATATTCATTGTCCAAACAATCTATGTGCCCATAATGAGTAAGCGGCTTTTTTCCTGTTCTGAGGTACGTAGCCTTTACACGGTACTGTTTCTCTTCTCTCATTAACTATGCACCTTTTACTCGTCCCTGCCCACGATTCTGGTGTCTGGAATTGTGTATACAGATGGACGACGTCTTAAGCAATACATGATCAATTCCTCCAAGTCCATTTCTTCTTTCACTTCGTAAAGTAAACAAAAAATTGAGATAAGACCTAAAGGAAGGGAAAACAGAAAGCCATGCAAAGTATGGATGAAGTAAGAGTTACTGCTTCCATGATTGACTCCATGAAATAAAAATAAAGAAATGTCGTTAACTTCTAAAACGAAAGAAAAGAGCCTGAATTAGATGCCTTAATCTACCGGGGTAGTACGACAAGTGCAGTTTACAACCTAACTTATGCATTATACACTTATACACTTTACGGGTCACCAGGAAACAACAAAAATGACTTCATTCACCGTCCAACTTGACCTGATCCTCATCTTAACTTTGGCCACCCAACCTTTTCCAATGTCAGCTAACGAACCTAGTATCAACATCCAACTTAGTCAACGTGTACTAACGAGGACTCAGGGATCATCAGACCGGTCTATCATACCACAACCAAGGGAGCAGCTTGCAACTTCGATTCTCACTAGGATTAGACTACAGAATATCGTTGGAGAGAAGTGTAACAGATGTTCGTCATAATAAAGTCTTGAGCTGTATTAATTAGATTTCTGTTACTATAAATCAAGCAGTGTGTTGTTCAGTTGGCCATTCCTTGTTAAATCCTTTTACGAAGAAAACTACCTTTAAATGATTATTTATTTAAGGAGCGACTAGCCTGATCACAAGTGATTGATTTATCAACGAGCGACTGAATGCGACATCATACTCGAAGCTCCGGATTTATGTAAGATGCAGCGGTCTGAATTTCCATATTGATGCACATTTTCCATCATCGCCGTAAATTTGCATGAAGAGTAAAAGACCTCCATCCATTTCATATATTCATGTTACAAATTCAAGCACTTATTAGAAAGATTTTACCGTTCACTTCAGCTTCTTCCTAATTTTTGCTACAAATTTCAGATAGGCGTACAAACGGTGTGGTTGTCATCATTAACATACATCATGTTATTAACGTGCTTCATGATTGAAATATGATGATACCCATTCTTTTTAAGTCTCTGGAGAGTAATGAAGATGTATGTAAGCGTATATCGGACCAACACGTTATTTATATTCGTTGTAGATGATGCGTTCCAATAAAGGAATCTATCCAACAACAACGAAATCTACACGGGTGCAAGTGAAACCTACTGCAAATTCAGGTGTTGATGAGGACAGGGAGAGAGTGGAGGCTGCTATCTTTTTCTTACGTTGCCAGGTGCCACTGTCGTGTTCTTTCCGTTTACTTCACCTTCTGCTATTTATGGAACGAATTTGCTAACGCAATTGTTCTGCCGTGTTTCAAAGTAAAACTCCGAATCTTACATATA